ATAAAGCCCTCAACTTTCAAGGGAAAATATGAATTAAAATTGGCATGGTAGTTTTTGATGTAGAACCATACCAAAAAGCATTTTCATGTCCTTAATAATTTTTACATGAAATCTAGCAAAAAACTTTGAGTGAGATTTTTGTTATCTTCTTCCATCTAATGAGATATCATTAAACAACCCTAAAAAAGCCAACATTCAAATCATAACTATTATAAATAATAGCAATTCATAAATAGAACTAGACAAACCAGAAAATTTAAACAAGCAGAGATGGAATTTAAAGAATTTTAGCCGCGGTTTAAATCCGCCAAAACCCGGTTTAAATTCAGCGCCGGCTTAAATTTTGAAACATTTGATACAATTTTAAGTGGAACCAACTATATTTAAACCACCGCGGCTTAAATTTAAACCGCAGCTCAAATTCTTTAAATTCGGCCACTGGTTTGTTAAGTTATTACATATAATATCGCTCTACGAAAACAAAAATTAAAAATTGATATTTTTAGAGAATATTTGAAAAATAAAATGAGGACATTTAATTTCAATTTCTTTAAAACAATTTGATTTACAGCAAATCTAATGATCCAGTGTGAACTTTGAGATGTCTGACAAGAATGTTCTTCTGAGAGAACCTTTTATCACACACATCACATTTGAATGGTTTCTCTCCAGTGTGAAATCTCATATGAACTTCAAGATTAAAATTGCTCTAATTTTGTTTTCCACATATAAGACAGGTGTGGTCCCTACTAGAACCTTGTTTTCTTGAGTTTCTGTTCATTTTGTAACATCTATACACACTGATACAATACAACTCAATTTGATATGATATTGTTTTTATCTTCATGAAGAGATTTTCTGCTGCTGGGATATTAATCAATAAACCTAGATAATATATAAACTGGTTTAAAATGTTAATTAATGAATAAGTATTTTATAAATGTGATCATAGATTATGTTTGTTTGGTCAAAGTGTGAAGCGTTGTGTTCTGTTTAAGAATTATTTATGGTGAATGTGATAATAGCTCATAGAATATCGCTCTACGAAAACAAAAAGTAAAAATTGATATTTTTAGAGAATATTTGAAAAATAAAATGAGGACATTTAATTTCAATTTCTTTAAAACAATTTGATTTACAGCAAATCTAATGATATCCAATACCCATCATGGTATATTATAATCTTTCTTTATTTTTACATGCAGGTTTTGCGAAGTGGGAACAAAACAACTAAAAACATAACACCTAAATTCAAAACACTTTATTATAACCACCCATATTTTAAAAGGACTAAATTTCAAAACAACCAACGTGTTAGAACAGCTTTTTTCAAAACACCCAAAGATACAAAACACCAAAATTTCATTTCAGGATAAAAACACCTAAATTTCATTTAAATGTAATAAAACCTAAATTTTTTCAATTCTAAATGACTACAAAACACCCTGCTGTCTGAACACCTAAAAAAAACACCCAAAGTGTCAAAACACCTAAATTTCATTTCAAGAAAAAAAACATGGTTGTTTTGAAAACTTAGGTGTTTCGCCTCTTTGGGTGGTTTTTTTAGGTGTTAAGACAGATGGATGTTTTGACATTAGGTAATTTGAAGTGTAGGTTTTTTGTAGTCACTCCGGGCTTGTTATTAAAGGGTCCGTTCACTTATTTGGGTACTTTCAGGGTAAACTAAATAGTCGATTAGCTATTCATTGGTCTTTAGTCTTACTTTTCAAAGACATAGTCATAGTCATAGTCATGGATCAAAAAAATTTTAAATATTAAATTAAATTGTAAATTGTAGATGTCTGTCATTTGTTTTCAAAATTATTTTTAAATTGTATATTTTCAAAATATTTAACTTATTTTAAACATTTGACGGTTTGATATGTTTTCCCTACTTCCGCAGAAATTTCCGTGATTTATTGAAGAGTTGGAATCTAGGAACCCGTTTCACGGAGAGAGAAAGTCGTCTTTGTATAAAAGTGTTAATTTGTTTAATCATGTTAGAACACGAAAAACGTTAATTTCTTGCTAATTTCAAAATCTTTGACTGCTTCACACCTTTTTCCAGAAATAGTTTGGATTTGAAATGTTGATTTCCAAGTCGTCATTTTTTCTGAAAATAAAGATATGTTATTTTAATGATTTTCATATCTTTTCCACTTGTCCATGATTTTCAGTTAGTCACAAACTTATGCAATAATAGCTAACTAGATTGGAACTTAGATTTTAATAAATCAATATTTACAACAAGTATCTAAAGGTTTTTAGTAAGTAAATGATTTAAGTTTTAAATGGTTTAGAAACACCAATTTTCAAAATAAATTAGAAGACCTCAAAGAATGGCCATAAAAATACAAAATTTGTTTCAATAAATTTCTAAATAATATGAGCTAATTTTGGCACAAAGAGGTTAATAAACTATGGTACATTTCTACTTTAAAAGATGAATTTTCAGTACTGTTGTAAACCAACTACATTTCAAGCTTATCCTTGAAATACTCCTCTGCTTCCTGACTTGAAACATTATATAATATTCTTGTCCATTTCCTTCCTGACTCATCTATCATGATAGATTCGGGATCTACAGGTACTTGTTCTGCTCCATTCTCATCAACATTAATATCCTCTTTATTATTATTAATGTTCTCATCTACAATGATAGATTCTTCAGGTAATGGTTCTTCTTCATTCTCATCAACATCAATATCTTCTTCAATATTTTCAATGTTCTCATCGTCATGATTAACATTAAAATCTGTCTCAACCTGCAGTTTATTCTTATCTTGGATCTTCTCATGTAGATCTTTGCCTGACTCATAAGAACTATTGATATGATCTTGATCTTTGCCCTTGTCAGAGCTATTATCTTGATCTTGATCTTCTTCATCAAAACTTTTCTCAGAATCTTGATCTTTGCTCTTGTCAGTGTGAGTTCTCATGTGTGATATAAAAGTTGATCTATAAGCAAAATCCTTATCACACACTCCACATTTAAAAGGCTTCTCTCCAGTATGAACTCTCAGATGTAGGATTAAAATGTGTTGTCTTGAGAACCTTTTTTCACACACTCCCCATTTGAATGGTTATTCTCCAAATTATGATCTCATGTGTGTGGTTAGATGATGATTCATCACACACTCCTCATTTAAATGGTTTCTCTCCAGTGTTAAGATGTCTGGCAAGAACGTTCTTCTTAGAAAACTTTTATCACATTTGAATGGTTTCTCTCCAGTGAACTCTCCGATGTGTGGTTAAATTACTCTCTAATATGTTTCTTTTTACAAACTAATTCAAATTTTTTCAAGCCATAGAAATACTTCTTTATCCTCCCCATTTTCTATCAGATACGGGGTTACGAAGGTATCATGGTGAATCCAGTATGTCTTCTTTAAGTAAAGGGTCCCTTGAAATTTCTAAGACAGTCCCTTTAGAAGAAAACTCAGCAGCTAAGTGGAAAAATACAAATTTGCTCGATATTTGGCATTTTAAAGCGCCTTTTAAATATTTAAATATAAATAACTGCATCGTTTTATTTTAGAGGTTTAAATACAACTCGTCAGTCAGATTAAAATTACTATTAGGAGAATAATAGTCCTAAAATAATGTTCTTAAAAAATATAATGAAAACGGACAATTGTCTTATGTAGAGCTAGGTCAGGTCTTCAAACACAGGTTTCGTAAAATCTAATTTTTTCCTTTTTTATCCACATTATTAGCTAGACCGTATCATATTCGTTCTATAAAAACAAACAAAAAGTTTATACTCAAAATAAAAAAATAATTGTAAGAAAATACTTACATTTTTTCGTCTTTTCCCACCTTTGCTTCTATAAATTCATTGTTGAAAACAAAACAAAAAATAATTACCAAAGAATCTTCTTAATCAACATTAGAATATTTTGGGATAATTTCACTGGTCATAGATATGCAATATGTACAGTATAACAAATGTACAAATAAATTATAACAAATATATATATAGATCATATCTCTCATATTGATCTGTGATAAATACTTAGTTTGGCATATGACGAAAGATTTCTTTCTATATTCCATTCGCTGAAACCTTAAGAATTATATAAGTTGAGCCTATGCTAAACAGGTGAAATACTTGAGGATTTAAATAATTTTCTTCAGATCTGTGTTTAATGAGATGAAATAACATTTAAATTCATTCAATAATATAATGTTCATATTCTGTGCATTTTTTAGCAAGTATTAGCTTTATTTTTATTTCAAATGACAAGTTGACTGTTAATGTAAAATTTATATCAGCAAAGCTAATAATGGGAGTAAAAAAGAGAAAGGAATAGATCAGATTTCAAATGAAAAACAAATTTAAAATGCCGATTATAGGAGGACATATTTCATAAATAATTAACAAACATTAAGAGCTACTGAAAGAATACCCCTGATATTAACCTAAATTTTAGCTTGCAGTTGCAGGAAAACCCAAGACAAATAGAAATATTCAAATACATTAATAACATTACAAAAACATTCTATTTAATACATATTTAATAGTTCACTGATTAGATTACAGTTTAATAGTACAGTACACTAAACCGACTAAATATAGAAAAAGGATATTTTATACACAGATTGATATGCTCCTGTACGTCTGCACTTTACACTTCACAAGCTACAGGATTTACCCAATACTTAATAAGAACTCATAAAAAATACAGCATTAAACCTATTGCTATTATTCATTAACTTACTGTAATTAGTAAGTTAGGTATTTACATGTTTCGCTATAGAATACAGGAGATCAAACTGTACTGCGCTCTTATTATTTATGATTTAAGCAGGAACAACTTCATCAAGAATTTTAAAGGGTTTGTGGTTGGACGCACACACTCAGGAGTCAATGAAGGAGAAGGCTGTAGACTGTAGACTGTCATTCTTGAGTCCCATTTGTTTTAATTCAATAAAAAATTCTTTATTTCACGTTCAAGGCATATTTGAAGAGTTGCAACTCATAATGTCTTAGCATTTCATCTAAAAATATGTAAATAAATGAAAAATAATGGCGTAAACAATAATTCAGTAATCCAGGTAAAACTGTGTTGACAGATAAACAGGAAGAAACAAAGCCAGTGCTTTTGAAAATCTAGCAGGCATAAAGCTCAACATCATAACAGAAGCTTGTAACTGGACAAATATCTTTCTTCAACTTTTTGAATTTTTTATTCTTTAATTATGTTTCTTTCACAAGTGTGGGAGTTAACAATATTTCGTGGAGATTTCAATGCTGGAAGTTCCACAGTTTAAATGTTCTGTCAAATGAGCAGGTAGCGATCATGGAACCATCAGGAGATACATCACAGCCAGACAATTTGTTATCATGCCCCCTCAAGGTAGCCAGGGGTAACCAGGTCTTACTGGCCCAAACCTACAAAGTAGAAAAGGAAATGAGTTTTTGTCACAAACTCAGATTTGTTAAACCCAAAATCTCTGCAACTGGATAGTGTAAAACTTTGATATTTTAAACTCAAATTATTTGATCTTCCAGAATTGACTAGGACTCGGTCCAGAATACAGATCCACATGAATATAGAAAAAATGGAAATTTTAAGAAGTTCCGGTTGACCCTCTTATTAAACCCAGGAACAGTTATTTAGATTTGGTTCAGTTTTTAAATATTTATCAAAACATAAACATTCTGAAACGTTTACCTTGGCAGTTCCATCATAACTACTAGAGACTAGATATTCCCCAGTATTCTTCTCAAACCTCACATTAGACACCAGTTTAGTGTGTGCTGGGATAGTGTACTCAATATTTCTCTTTCTAAACATCAAGGATCAAGAACAAAAAAGATAAAGTATAAACAGCAACACCAAGACCAAGACCAAGACCAACATCAGCATCAGCATCAGCATCATCCAGCATCAACAGCATCAATAGTATCAACGGCATCAACTACATCAACTACATCAACTACATCATCAACATCCACATTAACTGCAAATAAGAGTTCGATTTAAGAAAAAACGTATAGCCTGGTTACCAGTAATTTATCGATCTCTTACCACTTAAATTATTTTCAAGGGACTGTCATAGAAATTTCAACTCAAGTAATCTCCATTTAAAAAAAGGCATTCCAGATTCACAACGGTTCCCTTTAAATCTTTATCTGAACAATCATTTAGAAGACAATGTCGTTTATGTGTTTAATTCTGATAATATCCTCTCTTAGTAACTAGAGTAGAAACTAGAATTGCACTTAGGCAAAATAAACTATAGATTTTTTAAAAAGTTAAAGATGAAAATCTACTTCATTCTTGATCAGACAAAGCTTTAAAAGGACTGGGCACTATCGTATACCAGACCTTGCCATTCTATGCATGGAAGGCTACTTGAAATTACGTCTACAGTTTCTTTAAAATCAACTTGAAATATTACCTTAAATCCCAGATTTTACATGAATTATCCTGACTACAGGTCACAATATTATATCCGTTAGGAGACCAGTCAACCCCTGTTATACCCTGAATATAGAATAATTAGGAGACCAGTCCACCCCTGTTATACCCTGAATATGGAATAATTAGGAGACCAGTCCACCCCTGTTATACCCTGAATATAGAATAATTAGGAGACCAGTCAACCCCTGTTATACCCTGAATCTGTATATAAATTTGGCTTGTCTGTCTGTCTGTTTGATTGTTTGTTTGTTTGTTTGTATCCAATAAACTTCAAAACGGCTGAACCGATCGCGCCCAAATTATTTGTGGGACATCTAGGGACCCTAGGGAAGGTTTAAGAATGATCAAAATTTCAAAATTCGATCTTCATTATATTTTTGAAAATGTTGAAAATCCACGAAATTTTTTGTGAAAATCCGCGAATTATTTTTGTTTTGTTTTACGATGTACACAAAGAGAACATGTTCACAATTAATTTAGAAGATGGGCGCAGGGAAGAATGGAATGATTAGGTTATCAGTCAACCCCTGTTATACCCTGAATATGGAATAATTAGGTTATCAGTCAACCTCTGTTATACCCTGAACAGAAAATAATCATTTTTTATAGTTGTTTAGAATCCTAAATGTTACCTTGAGATGTCCCTCCAAGAACATGATACATTGTCCTGTCCGTAGATCCCAAACTCTACCAAAACTATCCAGACCTCCACTACAGCACAGAGATCCATCCTAATCAATTAACCAATTACTTATACAATCTATCATTAAATCATTCAATCAATTAATCAATTAGTTGATAAAATCTAACAATTAATCGATCAATGAATTGTTTAATTGAACAATTTATCAATGAATCAACCAACAATCAATGAATGAATGTACAAATATGTTGTAAAGAGGAGTAGAGAAAAGAAAATGAATTGTATGCAAAATATGAAAAAAGAGATAAAAAAAATTATAAAGAAGGATACAAAAATAAAAGAAGCGTAACAAAAAAGAGAGAACTTTGAGCCTGATATTATAGAACCAGTTTTGTTAGATTAGAGAGAAAAAGTGAATACACAAAAACCATCGGTAAAAAACAATAACTAAAAGTTAACCAATAAGAACCAACCTGTTGAAAAGCAAGGCAGTAAACCTCTTTACTATGCCCCTCCTATCATCAACAGTTTTAAAAAACCCATCTTCAAGTTTAAGCTTTTGATATTTATTTAAAATCAAAAGTTACACTTTCAACAGAAACCAGAGTTCATCAGTTTTCACATTGAATGATTTTGCCGTTACACTACTTTTCAACGGGTATTTCTGTGAGTCGGCATATTGGGAAATCTTTTAATGCAGGGTCACTAGAAATTACTTAATTCGATAGGTCCCTTTAAGGGCTTAAAGTCTTCTGATAAGTCATTTAAAAGTGTTTTCCTGATGTTGAACTTCTGTAAGCTGTTCTAAGTCCCAAAGTCTCCATGAGTTGTCCCAGACTGCTGTTCCAAGAAACCGACCGCTAGGATGATATGCACATCTAGATACTCGCGCATCATGACCTTAACAGTTAAATTTGGGGTCAACTTGGAAATTATTTTGCCAACATTAAGTATGTCAAGTTTATATAAGTACATTTAGAATTTTCCAACTACAATTTAGGTTCTATGAGACTTTAAGGTCGAGCTGAAACTCTTTGAATGTTAAGTTCTGAAGGGGTCTTTTTCCTTGCGTGTATAGTCTTTTTCTATTATAATTTATAATTTGACAAAAATAAGAATGCCCATACAGTTACAGGGAGCTATGAATTCTCTCTCTTCAGTCTCATCTTCTGTAACAAACACTGTACATTGTACCAGTGTACAGATTTAAAATGATTTTAGATAAAACCTATTATGGATTTCCGTAGAAAAAAAATGATTAAAGATATCACTTAATGAAAACATTTCAAATAAAATCCAAAAAACAAATTGTTTTCTGAATTCTGTTAACAATGATCCCTTCAGCATAAGAAACTGTACAGTAATAATAATGATAAGAATTCGATTTTAAAATCAAATTGACCTTCAATGTCTGCTACCGGTTCCTCTGAGTCTAAACTCCAGAGTTTGACGGAACCATCAGCTGCGCAGGATGCCAGGTTGGGTTCTGCAGGATCCAGACCGAGAGTAGATTTAGGATTGAAGACGACAGATCCCACGTGGGTTGTATGTCCACGTAGTGGTCGGATCTAGATCACAATTTTTTTATAATGATTTTAGACTTTATCAAGATTTCTTGAAGTTGTAATTTTATAAATAACAAATACACAAGAAATGAAGAAAGTTGATCTTATTTAAAGAAATCTTGAATTAAAAAAACATTATGAACATTGTATGAAAATTGCCAACCTGGCATCCCCTTACGTTCCCCTAACCCCCCAAAAAACAATTGTACAACATGTTTAAATAAAAATTAATGAGATTTATAAGTAGGAGTCATCATGTACTCCCTATAGACAGTTGTACAGTGAACACCCGGCTTCATGTACTGTACTGACCTCCTTGCAGTCAGGTACACTCCAGAGTTTACAGACCCCAGACCAGCTACCAGTCACCAGCATTTTGGAGTCAGGACTAAACTGACACCAGGATACAGGACGGGTATCCACTATCTGGCTGGCCTAATATAATAAATCAATCAATCAATCGATGTAAAGCAGGCCCCCGGGATTGTCTATTTCATTTATTTTGATGAGTAGGCTTCATATTTTAAGACTTTAATTCAAAATATGTTTTCTTCTTTTTCAATCTTCTTAAGTTTATTCTTTGTTACACATATTCTTTCTATATAAACTAAAGTTTTCTTTTCGGTAAAAACGGTTGAAAAATTCTTGATCATTTAACCAAATTTAACAAAATAAAATGTTATACAATACCTCGACGTCTAAACTTTTCATTTTCTTCTGAATTTCTTGCTTCTTCGCCATCTTTGTTTTCTCTGGCAAATCGGATTCTTCGCGAAGACGACTTAAGCGCGCAACAGCTCGTGGTATACTGTAGCTTGCCAACCATTCACGTGCTTAAAAAAAATTAACAATTTTTTTTTGAAGAACGTTATGTATTTTCATTCTTCATCGTCAAAAATTCTGATAATTTTAATTTCAAAAAATAACCTATTTTGAGAGATTCGGGCCCTTCGTGATACCAAGTAGATTCATCATCTTTCTTTTCTTCTACTACTTCAGACTGAAAAAAAACTAATTAATAAACATTTAGGGGTTTGTTTTCCCAAGAATAATTTTTAATGCTCTGGGGACAAATTCTTTACCCAAAAATACATAAATGAATCCTTTAAAAAGGTTTAGCGCTAAGCGCAAACACACTTTTTGGGGAAAAGAGGAGAAAAAGGTTTTTCAAGATTACATACACCCCTGTGAACATTAACTTTGGTTGTATGTAGTTTAAATGATTATCCAAAGACCATTCAACGACCATCCAACGAACATTCAAAGACCATCCAACAAGCATCCAACGACCAACAAATGACCATATAACCCCAACAAATTACCATCTATCGACCAACTAATGACCAACTACTTTACCTGCATTTTCTTCTTTTGAAGAACATCAGCACCAATCTTCCCTATCAATTCACGCAATCTAAAAAGATATTGAAGATAATGTAACATTCAAGAAATAATTTGTTGTAATTAAAAATGATACGAATTTTTAATTTTAGAATGAAAATGGGGGAAAAAATCTTTGTTTACACATTTATAGTTAACACAACCAAAACTTTTGTTTCTGACCTTGAACTCTTTTGATAGAGAATTAGGGCGAAACATCTCGGCATTTTTTTTACTATTTTTAGGTTTTATAAAAAATAAAGATTAAATAAAAAGTCGACAACAGTCTCTTTAATCTCGTTTTTTACCTGTTTCTCCTGTCAGCTGGACCCTCCCCGAACAAGCAGATAGGTTCCCCCAGTAGCCGCAGCTCGGACTTCACCTCGGAGTCGTTAGTGGACACCGTTATGGCGCGGACGCGGCGCCTGCGCTCAAACTCCTCCAGCATCTCCTGCTTGTCGCTGGACAACACGTCCTTGTCCATCTCAATATACTCGGAAGATATCTAGAATAATATCAGCTTTATATTTTGTTCCATGGATATTTCAGATATTTCAAAGGGTCCAAGTGAAGGTACACTCTACAGTGTGTAGAGTCTACACAATCACAAAATGCCATTCTTCAGAATTTTTCACACCTTTAAAAATAAAGGAACTGAATTAACACTTCCTCAAACAGCTAAATTTTTATCAAAAAGCACAGTGGACTACTATAACAGTAGATTGATACCCCAGTTCTTATTTTAATAAAGATGCTGGTAAATAAAGTTTCAAAGAAATGATAAGAACTAGCCTCGGCTTGATTACTACTCGATAAAATACCTAAAATGATCTTTCTAAGAGTAATGGTGGTTGATTAATGAGCGTAATAACAAGATATAATAACATTTTTTATCCCTAAATCTATGCAAAAAGATGGCGAAAAACTTAGATATTCACAACATTAACTATTTGCTCTCACAAAAGTTGGTAGTTTAACAGGTCGACAGTATTAGGATGCAAAGATATTAAGTATTTAAAAATCAGAGTTTGAGACGAATATTCATTGTTAAGTTTGTTTGTAGTTGTTAGGAGGGAAACAAAGTGACTTCAACGTGCTAGCCGTATAACCTCGTTAATCTGAAATTCAGCTGAAATGGCTGAGGAGCCCGGGGTAGAGGCTAGTAGCGTCACATGGTCTCTACCTGTATATTTTCAACTGACGACTCTCCTCTGTTCTCGCTGAGGAGCCCGGGGTAGAGGCTAGTAGCGTCACATGGTCTCTACCTGTATATTTTCAACTGACGACTCTCCTCTGTTCTCGCTGAGGGTTCCGAAATGAACCACTTTCTTCCGCTTGATGTACTGAATATCCTCATCGTCAGACATTTTCGGTCTGAAATTTTGCATGATTAGATAGTTCTCTTTACAATTGGTACTTTTTAACAAGATTTAAAACATATATATTTCACTTTTCTTTGTTAGTAATAATAATAATAATCCTAAAAATAACCCATAGGAATGTGGACTTTTATTTGGGGTTATATAGATTCAAGGGGGGGGGGATGGAAAATTGGACATCAAAATGATGAGAAAAAGGGATGCTTTTTCAAGAAAATGTATACCCTTGTTAAAATGTTTTTAATCTTTCGCGAAACTTTATTATTTTATATTTTTTGTAAACATTACTTCCGATGAATTAAAGTTATTTTTCTGTTTATTCACAGATTAACAGATTATTTTAAATGTGTTAGCTATTGCGATCAGTTTTTTTTAAACTTCTTTTTCAAATAATTTTTCTGTATTTCTATTATTCCCGAAATAGAACTTAAAACTAGTGATATATGTATCTATAATAACAAGTACAACTTTTTAAGTACGCGTTAACAATTTGCACTTAACTAGAACGTTGAAACAAATAAACTCGACATTTAATACACAAATTTACAACATGTACTTTTATGAAATGAACTGGGAAATGCTGAGAATGGTTTAGACACAAAAAGTTTGCAGTTTTGTAATGAATTGGAATTAATAGGTTTCTAGGAGAAAAGGGAAATTTTTAGTTCAAGAAGCAGCGTGAGTTAACAATTATTTAAATTTTCTTTACGCATTATTTTTTACTCTAATAAGATTATCACAACTGATCGATATTTCATTTCCCTTCGTAGTTATATTGAAGACAAGATTACAGGGGTCAATATATTTCCCTGCGTAGTTATATTGAAGACAAGATTACAGGGGTCAATATATTTCACTTCGTATTTATATTGAAGACAAGATTACAGGGGTTAAAATATTTACCTTCGTAGTTATCTTGAAGAAAAGATTACAGGGGTCGATATTTCATTTCCCTTCGTAGTTATCTTGAAGACAAGATTACAGGGGTTAATATAATTCCCTTCGTAGTTATCTTGAGGACAAGATTACAGGGGTCAATATATTTCCCTTCGTAGTTATATTGAAGACAAGATTACAGGGGTCAATATATTTCGCTTCGTATTTATCTTGAAGACAAGATTACAGGGGTCAATATATTCCCCTTCGTAGTTATATTGAAGACAAGATTTCAGGGGTCAATATATTTCCCTTCGTAGTTATATTGAAGACAAGATTACAGTGGTAAATATATTTCCCTTCGTAGTTATATTGAAGACAAGATTACAGGGGTCAATATATTTCCCTTTGAATTGATCTTGAAGACAAGATTACAAGGGTCAATATATTTCCCTTCATAGTTAAATTGAAGCAAGATTACAGGGGTCGATATTTCATTTCCCTTCGTAGTTATCTTGAAGACAAGATTACAGGGGTTAATATATTTCCCTTCGTAGTTATCTTGAGGACAAGATTACAGGGGTCAAAATATTTTCCTTCGTATTTATTCTGAAGACAAGATTTCAGGGGTCAATATATTTCCCTTCGTAGTTATATTGAGGACAAGATTACAGGGGTCAATATATTTCCCTTCGTATTTATCTTGAAGACAAGATTTCAGGGGTCAATAAATTTCATTTCGTAGTTATATTGAGGACAAGATTACAGGGGTTAATATATTTCCCTTCGTAGTTATATTGAGGACAAGATTACAGGGGTCAATATTGAGTTTTTCATCATTTTTTTCAAATAAATTCTTTATTTTCCCCCAAAATTCAATTATGTTCCCCAATTCTGCCAACCTTTCATAAAATTCCGCTCAGCGCAAACATACCTATCTTGTGAAAAAAAATGATTTTCTGGAAAATATACACCCCTTTTAAATTAACAGTGTAATTTTTGGGAATTTAGCGGTATGTGCGGGGAAAGCGACGGAATGACTAAAATCACAAACCTTAGAAAACTCCGCTGATTTTCTAATCTTAAAACTTGGCTATTTGGAAACAATATAAATAATAAGAACATTTATGGGAAGACAGGAGCGGGGAATACGATAAAACTGTGCAATAAAAACAATGATTATTGAAAATCTATACTTTAAAAAGTGGTCCATTATTTTTATCTGACTTGATATCAGTTTTATGCTGTAATGAATACGACCTAAATAGTGCTGACTATTCAGGCGGTTAATCATGAAACATTTTCTATATCATGACAACTACCGTTACAAGTGCTTTTCTTTATATCATCTAACTGAGTGAACTTGTTTGATCCTGATGCTTCAGGACCTGCTTCTAATTGATCACAGCTAACATATTCTGCATTTTCTGGGCTGTTTTTCATGATTCCCGCCAATTCTTGCTTATCCTCGGGAAAATTCCTCGCCATTTCTTGTTTAGTCTCAAGCTCCAATGGCTGATTTTCAGCCACTTCCTTCTTTTCCTCAAGCACATTTCCCGTAATTTCTTTCACATCTTCCAGCTGGTTAGGAGTGCTGTTTCCTTCCATTTCTCCCACATCCTGCAATGGGGGACAATTTCCATTGGCTGTTAACATTGCGGTTTTCTCAGGAAAATTAGTTTCTGCTAAAATTTTGTCAGATTCTTGTTTTATGGAATCTAAGGAGATCTCCATCTTATCGCTGGAATGTATTGGCGATGGTTGGTCGTCTTCTTGAGACTCGTGTGATAATATTTCGACAACGATGGTTTCGTTACCGTCGTCTTCATTCTGGGCATGAATGGATTCTTGAAGGAGTTTGTCCATCTCTGTGGGTTCGTCGTGGCGTCCGGTGTTCTCCACTATAGCAACGGTTTCAACTAAATAAATAAATAAAAAAATTATTAAATACATAAAAAAGGACCAAGGATAATCAATTTAATAAATAAATGGATAAATTGATAGAAGTACAGGAATATTAAAAGTGAATATAATTAGGTTGCCTGTTTAACTACAGGGTGTCACACGAAACATGACATTTAAAAAATCGTTATTTTTAGTTAAAACAACCTTTTGCTTCATTATCTTTTACTTTAAAATCAATTTTAATATAACATGACTCCCATATAATATTTTTATTGATCTTTGGTACCAAACAACTCAACAAATTATGGAAAAAGACATTCTAAACTATTCACCAACTGTCATGTTTTGTGGGACACCCTGTATTTGCACCTATTAAACGTCAAAACTGCTGAACCGGTCAGGGCTCACAAAAAAGGAAAAAGTTCCTGGCCGTTCGAAATTCAAAAACTTTGCCTTACAAATTTAGGTTTTAAAAATCCACAAATAAAAAATGAAACTTTGCGAATTGCAAATTCATAAATTGTTCCTCCTTTTATATTAAAAATAGTTGCAGTAAAATATTATTCAACGTTAAAAATGACAAGAATGTAAGCACGATGTGCATAGGAAAATCTATTAATTATATATGATGACCTAAAAAGAGTAACTTAGTTGTTGTAGTTTTATATAATAGTGAAAAAAGGCCGGAGAGGGTATTATTAAAAGAATAAACCAATATATAATTTACACTGAGCACACCTATTCCCTGCTGATTCCCCCACCAGAAGGGGAGAAGATTGCTGATATTACTGACCATCCTCTTGTGCCCCTTCTTACTCTTCTCCGGGGACCTCGCCACCTCAATCTCCCCTCCGTCCTTCAGCGGGGAGAGGGAGAGGTCCCTCATGGGTGTTTCTGTCGGGGTGTAGTAGAGGGACTGAGAGTCACTGAGCGCCATATCTCCCAGGTTCATATTCTTCTCAATATCCAGTATATCCTTCATCTCTGCCTCCCTAGATAGTTTAAAAGTTCAGAAATCCTCAATATAAGAGAAACTAATATTCCTGTTATTATCATTATTATTATTATTATCACTATTATTATTATTATCAAAACTTTCCAATATTATTTTTCATTGTCATATAAATGAGATAAATTGTCAAGATTAGTAAGTGTAGCTTATATTTTACTATTTCATAGTCATAAAACTCTCAATAATATTAAATATCTTAACATTTTTAATAGGATTTATCAAATCTTAAGGTTCAGTTTGTTCCACTGCATCCCCCCATCCCCACTATTTGGGTTTTAATAAATTATCAAGTACAATAGTTGGCAACAGAGAAATTAACCAATAATACACGAGGTGTGAAATAAAGCAAGGAGAACGAAATTATCTCACATTAGTTGACATGTTTTCAAAGATTAAATAAAAAAGTGTAAAATCAGAAAATAAAGATGAAAAATAATTGTACTTATTTTACTGTAAGATAGGCACTTAATTCTAAAAATATTACTATTATTAATAATTTTGTCGGACAGAAAAACTGAATTGACACTTGTGACGTGAGAATACAGCTGTACTAAGAGTGAACAAATTCTACGTTGCCATCTATTTGGAATTAACTATTAAAGGAACTGTAGAGTGAAGACGTAATATCAAGCAAACCTCCATAAAACAAAGTGTGACATACCCATTCACAAAGGTACCTTAAATTTTTCCCCTTGTTTCTATTTTTAAATCTTTGTAATTTCTGTTATCTTTAAAAGTAACTTTCGGATTAATGAAACAATCTTAAAGAAAGAAAATGGACGAAATCTTTTCTAATTGTTGATCAGATAAAGGTATAGTGGAGGGTTACTTGAAACTACGTTCAACTGTCCCTTTAATGCACCTTTTATCCATCTCCTCCTGCCACTCCCTGAGATCCTGGTCCCCGTATCCCTGTCTGCAAGAGGATAAGTCCAGGTACAAGGCCGGCATGTTGTCCAGAACCCTGAACATCACAAATATTCTTTTATTTTTAAATAATCCTGGGCTATTTGGAGTTAAAATGAGAATGACGAATGCTGGTTTTCGAGTTGATGAATATTCTGGTTTTCAGACTGATAACATCTGAACGGACAATCACAGTCTTCAAATACTTTTTAAAAACGTTAAATAAAAGCATGTTTCTTGTTATGAAAAAAATTGTTTAAAAAAAACATCGTCGAAATCGAACAAAGAAATTTGTTATATGCAATGACACATTATTTTTAAAAAGGTAATTCAATGATCTCAAATTTGTTTGTTTATTTAATTTAAATACGGACTAAATATTACCTGTTCAAAGTTTTCTGGGTATACTGCTTTGTTTCGCGGATTTTTAAATAATTCTGAGCAGAAAATTTCCTAAAATACGAAAAAAATCTTAATAATAAAAAATGCACTAGCTAGTTAACTAATGATTAATGACTATGCACTCGGTGTGCTCAATTTTAGAGTCACTTTTGGTACCGAGATGCAAGGTCGCCAGAATGTTGCATAATTTTGCAAGATTTTCAAAAACAATTTTTAAAAAATTCTTAAAAATTTTTTTCAGGATGTGCCAATGGATTAAAACTTTCACCTTTTTTCATTTTTTTTTCACAAAAATTGAAATATGCCCATCATATCAGTTACTATAGAGATAAACATGACTAGAATACACACAAAAATTGAAATATGCCCATCATATCAGTTACTATTGAGATAAACATGACTAGAATACACACAAAAAAAATAAAACCCTATCTTGACTGGAAAGGTGTGAGCCAAATGTGTTCTTGTGAACTGCGCAAAAAAAAATTAAAATCAATCATTATTTTTCAAGATTTTTGGCGCAAGTACTTTTAACCAAGGTAGAATGTTATTTTTTTTTGTTTGATTGTCTTTTGTCTTTTATTCCCGTTATTAACTTAGCTATTTTTTGTTATTTTATTATCTCGGATAATATGTCCTAAAATTTTATTTTATTTTCTCCGATAATTTGGCCTAAATGTTATTTTATTTTCTCAAATAATATGTCCTAATTTTAATTTATTTTCTCAGATAATATGTCCTAATTTTAATTTATTTTCTCAGATGATATGTTCTAAATTTTATTTCATTTTCTCAGATAATATGTCCTAAATATTATTTTTTTTTTCTCAGATAATATGTCCTAAATAGTATTTTATTTACTCAGAAAATATGTCCTAAATATTATTTTTTTTTCTCAGATAATATGTTCTATATATTATTTTATTTTCTCAGATAATATGTCCTATATGTTATTTTTTTTTTTCTCAGATAATATGTTCTATATGTTATTTTATTTTCTCAGATAAAATGTCCTATGTGTTATTTTATTTTATCAGATAATATGTCCTAAATGTTATTTTATTTTCTCAGATAATATATCCTAAATATTATTTTGTTTTCTCAGATAATATGTCCTAAATATTATTTTATTTTCTCAGATAATATGTTCTATATGTTATTTTATTTTCTCAGATAATAGGTCCTAAATGTTATTTTATTTTCTCAGATAATATGTCCTAAATATTATTTTATTTTCTCAGATAATATGTCCTAAATGTTATTTTCTATTCTCAGATAATATGTTCTATATTTTATTTTAGTTTCTCCGATAATTTGGCTGTAATGTTATGTTTAAATCCTACCTCAGTCTCTGCCTCTGGAATATGTAGTTTTCGTGGCACCTGGGGAAATTACAATTGTTATGATTGTTGATTTAAAAATGTATTCAATGCACACAAAATCTTAATAGACAAATTAAGATATAAAACAGTAAATTTTTTTTTTAAATGGAGCCATAGGCTTGATGTTATTTTGAAACTGGTGAATCAATGTTTCGTTGAATTTATCCTTAGCACTGACCTGTCCAGCTGACCGGTGGAATATCACTGACCTGTCCAGCTGACCGGAGGAATATCACTGACCTGTCCAGCTGACCGGAGGAATATCACTGACCTGTCCAGCTGACCGGAGGAATATCACTGACCTGTCCAGCTGACCGGAGGAATATCACTGACCTGTCCAGCTGACTGGAGGAATATCACTGACCTGTCCAGCTGACCGGTGGAATATCACTGACCTGTCCAGCTGACCGGAAGAATATTCGCGGATCTTTGTGATTTGATCAAAATATTGATCCTTCACTCCTGTACACTGGGCAGATCCGTAGGTTTTTATATCCTAGACAAATAGAGGGATAAAACTGGAAAAATATGACTTATATTCTCGACTTAAAACATAACTTTAATAACATTTGAAATATGAGACTAGTGTACAGTGTACACATCCCTCATCATATCTGTCAACATTTTCTTACAAAAGAGGACACATTATTGAGAGGCGCTATCGAGGACGCACAATAATTTGATCGTCAATATCTTATTCTTAAGATAAAGGTTGATCCTTTAAGGCCCGAATTCAATGAATAAAACAAGGTCGCTGAACTACATACTACCGGTTAAATTCTTGAATCGCCGATTCAAGGTTAAAGGTTCATGAGGATTTGAACTGGCCAAAGGTAGCGACCTCTCCAGTTCATTAAATTCGGTCCCTGGTTTCTCTTTCTTTACTTTGATAATTAAATGAAAAGTTACCTTAATTGATTTTGCCTGATTGTTATAGTTCTCTCTAACCTTCTCCATCTGCAACGTACAATTATCCCTGGATCAATCAATCAATATATTTAAACATGAGAACAGCAAGATTAAACCTTACAGCTCCCTCTCCACTTCAATAAACACAGACACAACGCTAGGATCTACTATATTATTTATACAGTGCTTAGGATCCATTCCTGTAAGAAATGGATCCGTATCCAGCACAAACATTTCTTTGAGTGTTGCTAATTTGGTTTCCCAAAAACAATTTTCAAAATTAGATTTCTTCTTAAATAAAATTCAAATTCTTAATTTTAATGTTAAAATTGTTTAAGGTAAATTTTATGGATAAAGATATAATGGCACTGTGTGTTTCTTTGCATTACTTTTATATTAATACTTATGTTTAAATATAAATCCCTGATTCTCTGACTCTGCTGATTATAGTTTTCTCGTAGTTTCTCTAACTGCTGAATCCTTAATGACAAGTGATAGAAATATAGATCCGGGGGGGGGGGATAGGGGGGGGGGTAAATAACCCCAATAACCCCCCTTATATCCGCCACTGCTTGTCATCGTCTTTTAATCAAATTAAATGCCATTTACAAAATATTAAGAGGAGAACAAGAGCATGTAATTGCAGAATGGTGAGAGCGGTTGGGGTGGGGATTAATAGTTACAGATGATCATGTTATTGCTCTATCAACCTGTATGTCTCGATGGAATCCACAACCTAAAATAATCAACTAATCAAACAATCAATCAACAATCAACCCAAAAAACAAAACATTATTATAATTTTTTTTAGACTAATTGATTCATTTTGTTTATTCCCACAAAGGGAACAGGAAGATTTAATATCCAGGGGCACTCTTGGTATTCAACATTTTTTTTTTATCGATGTTCCATTTAACAGAAAAGAATGGTACATAAAACAAAGACTTAAAATGAAGGGCCTTGGCCTTCAAAGCTTTAACCCCCATAAGCTCCCATATACACAGAACTTCCTGTAATATTTTTTAAATCAATCGATCAATGAATATGAAAATCTGATTTTACCTTTGTTAACTTTTTAGTTTTAGGTGGGAGCTGATCCTTACAGCAGCTGCAGCATCTACAGCATAGGCAGCAGCCGTAGTTCCAGAGTATATAATGAACCAGTTTACCTAGTTACAGCCATTTAATTTATCTCTATATATCTAGAAGGTTTATTAAGTACTGTTGATAATGCTGAGGGGATAAATTGTCTAAAAATATTCTGAAAATAAAATATTGCACCTGAAAATATCCAATTTATAAAAAGAGCTTTAAACTATCTAAAAATTAATATAATTTTTCTATAAATGAAAAGGCTGCCTAGAAGTGTGAGACCCAGAAAAGCTGCAGCCCCAGCAAACCCATAAGCCAGGGACATGTAGTAAACATTGTTCCTAAAAATAAACAATTAACATCATATCAGGGACGTTATATCACAAAAAACGTAGAATATTTGGAATAAACACAAAGCTAAAATACAAAATGTTAAGAAGCGTCAAAATAAAAAGGATTGTTAAAAGCATCGAATTAATGGAGAATTTTCAGTCCGATTCATTTCATTCTAATACGGGGACCAAAATTGTGAATAAGAACTTAAAACATCGAGTTTCTTGCTGAAGAAATTAAATATGGCTTTAGACCCTTTACTTTACCTGCTACTATAGGGATAAAACAAATGAACAAAGAATTAAATGATCTGTTTATTTGCTAACATTTTTATTTTCATAAAATCATTTTCTAAGAAACGCGATTAAAAATAACCCGGGACCGAATTTAATGAATTTAGCTACGTCGCTGAACTAGGTTCTACCGGTTCAAATTCATTACTTTCGGTCTCCGTCATCGTAAGGAAACATAAGTATTCAGTGTATTGAACCTGTATTTAATATTGAGGGAGAGTTTTATAGTTTCAGTAGAGTTACTAACACCATTATCCACATAACACCTATCAAGATAAAATATTATTTTCATTTTTTAAGAGAAAAAATATACCCAGTTTGTCTGGAACAATTTTTCAGAATTACAACAGGGGGGGGGAGGAGAGGTTTAATTAAGGATAATCTGGGTCGAAAAATTGGACCTCAAAAGGAAAGTTTTTCAATCCTTTTTGATACTTTCTACCTAAAAATTATTTCTGGGGCAAAAAATGACTTTTAATAAGAGGTTGGAGTGAGGGGGGGGAGGTTGATATAAGAAAAAATACACCCCTAGTTTTTATAAAAAATTAATAACTATGACCTGAACTGTCCACGATCTCTCCAACCATACTGGTCGATAAGTAAGGATCCGTTCTCCAGGATAGTGTAGTGGTTCTCCCAACTACTGTACGCACTGGAGAATAAGGAACTATTATTTTTCAACTAAGCCATCCCCTGGAAGTCATCATCATAGATTCGGATAAAATTAAAATATCTTATTAAGCTATGTAAGAGAGAAAGAAAGTTAAAACTAGAGTACTCTGTGACTTCTGGTTTGTGAGGTGTGAGCCTCTAAAGTTTCAGTCTCCAGACTGACCTCGGAAACTTCCAAGGCTGTGTAACTTTTTTGTTTTTCAAGATAAAGGCGAAATTTCAACTGCAATATTTTGTATAGAATAACTGGATAACTAATATAGGATTTGAGTTTCTTAGACCAATTTACTTCATTTTATTAGCAATCTTAATGAAATTTTGCATACGGGGATCATTGTGTTTGTTTTAATTAGAATAAAAGAAAATTGTGGAAACCTCAAAACTGACCAGACGGCTGAGAGTTTGGGAGAGAGGACTTGTAAATATTGAAAATAAGAAAGGAATGATTTATGAAAATATAAAGACATAACATGAAAAAATAGTACAGGACCATGTAAATTGTAATTTCGAGCTATTTCAATAATATCACAAAAGTCGTTTTCATGCATCTGTACAAAAGCAAATTTTAGTAAATATCTTGAGTAAGCTAGTTTTAAATCTTATGTATAAGGATAAGGCTTTAGACCACTGACGGAACTTGAACTATAGATCTGTAACCCCATCTCACCCCCTTCTCTTAGAAGAGCACAGACCACTGTCGGAACTTGAACCCTCAAGTGTTATATAATCAGGGGGCTTCCTTCACTTACTTGATATGGTCTGAGAGATCTATCTTATCCTGATAGGAGGGACAACTACCCTGGTCAGGGAATAGGCGGAGCAACTCATGTCTAGATACAAACCAAATTAATCCAATCAATTAATTAATCAATTGGTCCTCCAATATATAATAACTAATTCATCAAAACATTAATTTTCAAGTCATGGGAAAAAAAACACAGTCATAAATTTGTTTGCACACACGGGATTCAGGCACAATTAAACATTAAAGATATCAAGCATATAATTAATGTGTTATTATATAATATCAAACCTGTCAATCAATCAACTACAGGGGTGGTTTTCTTCTAAAAAATTTCCCCCCCATCCCTTTAAAGAAAATCATTTTTCCCTCCAGTAGTTACACTTTCAGGTGTTATTTACGCTGAATTGTGGAAAATAAATGATTTGTTGGGTAAAAGGTATGAAAAAAACTTGCCTTCTTAAGTAACATTCCCCAGGGGCCCAGTACCGACCCCTGGGGTACCCCTGACAGGACTTCACACCATTCAGAGAATGACCCATTTAGAACCGTACGTTGCATCCTTCCACTCAGCCACTCTGTGATCCATTTGTGGACGTTGCCCCTGATATTGTGAGCCTTGATTTTATCCAGAAGACGATTTATAGGCACCTTGTCAAATGCCTTGCTGAAATCTAGGTAAATTACGTCAACGCTGTCACCATCTTCAATCAGCGTGGTAACCCTGTCTAAGAATTCGAGAAGATTAGTGGTGCAGCTCTTGTTTTTTATGAATCCATGCTATTCTGAATATTTCTTATACAAATGGAGTACCGTCTGCAAAGCATGTATAATCATATGGTAGGGTGGACCGCGTCAGTTGTATCTCCCTTCTTTTCCTTACTCCCTGGTCCAAGCTGTATACGCTTAAGTAAAAAGATAGTTCATTAATAATTTCCCCTTGGTACCTGGATTTGTATTTCTCCGCAGTCCAAGCTATTAAGTAGACCCGGAGCTGTGAAGTTAAACCTAGTCCCGGATACAGGCGATAAACATTGGAGTCCAGTATACAAATCTCTACTGTCAACACTCTGCAACCTAGAGAAGAAGAACATTTCATAATCTCCATTTAGAAAAATGTGATATAGTTCTGGAACCAGATTTAATAAATATGAGAAATAGTTCTTGGACCAGATTTAATGAAAAAAAAAAAGTGGTTGAACCACACATGGCCGCGCCGGTTCATCCAGTTCTCTAGTTTGCCGGGTCAAGCTAAAAAGTGGTTGAACTACATAGATTATGCTGAACCCGTTCTCTTCAGCTTGAGCTGGCGGACAAGAGAACTAGTTGAGCCGGCGGTACGTTCATTTTTCAGGGGTATATAATATATACATATTTTTTATATTTTTTAGGGTTTCCGCAAAGATTTTCTTTGGTTAAAATATTACATAATTATGCATTTATTACAAACTACCGTGACCAAGATTGGACTGAGTTTATTTTTATTAAGCTTAAAACTTTTAGAAAAACAGTTTACCAATTTATATATATAGAACATTATTATTATTATTAAAATTAACAATAGATGTGTTAATAAAATGTTAAGAAAACTTTATTTTAAAAAAGTTCCACTAAAATGCTTGTAGTTTAAAAATCATAATTCCTCTCTGAAATCAGACATTAATGAATTTGACCTCGGTCGCTAAACTACAGGTCACCGGTTCAAATCCTGAAGCACCGACTTAAGTTAAAGTTAAAGATACAGGAGGCTTTGAACCGGAGGTAGGTAGATCAGCAACATCTCTAATTCATCAAATCCCAGGATGAATTTTCATCCGAAGTAAATATTTTATTGTAATATTTTACCTGACAGCAGTTTGACAATCACAGGTAGGAATCCATCCTTCTATTCCTAGCTCTTCAATATTCTAAAATATATGTTTTAATTTTCTATTTTGATCTATATTGGCATGTCTGTCAGTATCCAAAAATCGTCAAAACAGCTAAACCGATATGGATCATTTTTTTTGTGGCAACTCACAAGACCCCAGGGAAGGTTTATGGACGTCAAATTTGAAAAGCTTTGTGAAAAACGGCTCAGTTTATTATTTTAAAATTGCACCAATTGGAACAGAAAAATCCACGAAATTGTTTGTTTATTGTAGAGCATAATGGACAATGACGAATAAAAAGCCAAATTACACATCTACCCTAGACCATAAGCTTTCCCCCCTAATATTTAGACCGAAAAAGATAAGTTTTCTTGCAATAATTTATCATTCGTTGCTGCTTAATTCTGGAGAAATTTCTTAGAAAATTGTACACTTGACAAAGTACCCAAAATATCTCTCAAGAATCTAAAATACCTTGAGTTGAATTAAACCTAAGGGAACCTGCTGAATATTCGTGAAAGATATATCTGAACCACGACAATAATGAATTAATAATTAAAATAGATAAACAGACAACCAATTTTAAATAAATATACAAATATACAACAAAAAATAAACAATAATCCAGAATAATCAATAATGTTTTTAAAATATCGTCAAATCTATAATTCTTGTAAAACAAACTTGAAACTTCAAATAGTTTTTAATGTTTAATCAAGATATTGAAATATAGTCTGGTTCCTAGATGTTTAAGATTAGGTGTAGAACGGAAGGTTTGCGAGCAAACTGTCCTCAGTAAACGGTTATCCCGGAGTAAGAGTTTAGTCAGAGACAGATCCGTCTCAGGAGGAACCAGCTCTAGGAGAGGGTTTGCACTTAAATCCAGATAAACAAGATCACGGTACCCGGAGATATCTCCGAAATCGAACTCAGAAAGGCTGTTCTCCGACAGGTTTAAGTTCCTGAGAAACGGAGCAGAACAGTTCAGAATCGGGTTCGAGGTTAATCTGTTCCCGGAGAGATTGATCAGCTCCAAGTTCTTTACGACATTGCAATCGAGGAGGATTAGGTCGGGGTCCCTTGTGTTTAGGATCTCCAACCTGGCCAGGGAGAAGAACACTTTGAAGTTCTGGACAGAGGAAGGGTCTATCAAACATCCGTCGAGGAGCAAGGACTCAATAAACCCAACGCTCTGGGTTGTTATATTAACATGAGTCAGAGGTTTAGAACACCCGGATATAATTAGATGTTTGGTGTTGGGAACCATGGAGAATATATACTCCGGGTTACTGTCCTTACAGGACGCTTGGTTAATACTCCCGTCCTCGGAGTGCGTACAAGAGCAGGTATCCGGACAAGGAGAGAAAGTGATATTCGTCTTTTTCTCTTCCTCAACACCAAACACACCCACGAGTAACACAGCCCAGATAATAAGCTCCATTTTAAATAAATTACATCTGAAAAAAAACTGGTCAAAAATGCCCATTATCCTTGGCACATTGCCACGATCACCGTTTTTTAAACCCATACTTCTTCATCTCATAGAAGAGATCTGTTTTCGAACTGCCGAGATTGACGATTTTAGGACAGCCGTCTCTATCCTTCTCCTGTACAGTACATTCCTTACAGTAGTACGCATCAGAGATTCCAGGTCCTCCACAGATTACACATCTACCCTAGGGATATAAAACCAGATTACATGGTTACCCTTGGGAAATAAAATAAGATTATATACACTAGGGATATAGAACCAGATTACATATTTAACCTCGGAATATAAAATCAGATTATCTACCCTAGAGATATAAAATCAGATTACATATTTAATAAAATCAGATTATCTGCCCTAGGGATAAAAAACAAGAATACATATTTACCCTCGAGATATAAAACCAAATTGTATAACTACCCTCGTGATAAAAAGCCAGATTACACATCTACCCTAGGGATATGAAACCAGATTGCATATCTACCCTAGGAATAAAAATCAGATTACATATCTACCCTAGGAATATAAACCCAGATTATATATCGGANTACCCTCAGGAATATAAAACCAGATTATATATCGGATAAAAAATCAGATTACATATTAATCCTAGGGATATAAAAATCAGACTACATTTCTAGGGTATAAACCAGAATCAAGATTACATATCTACCCTCAGGATAAAAAATTAAATTTCGTATCTACAAAGGATATAAAACCCAATTATAGATGAATATTAACCTGATAAGATCCGTAGTTGCACTCGTCGCAGATACGTACAAGCGTACAGGGGCGTACATAGGAATCACAGATCACACATTTCCCATCACACTTCTCACATAACCTTCCTAAACAGACAAAATACTCAACCAATCAGCATCTTCCCAGGTCATCATTTATCCAATCCGCAGCTTCCTAGGTCATCATTTATCCAATCCGCAGCTTCCTAGGTCATCATTTATCCAATCCGCAGCTTCCTAGGTCATCATTTATCCAATCCGCAGCTTCCTAGGTCATCATTTATCCAATCCGCAGCTTCCTAGGTCATCATTTATCCAATCCGCAGCTTCCTAGGTCATCATTTATCCAATCCGCAGCTTCCTAGGTCATCATTTATCCAATCCGCAGCTTCCTAGGTCATCATTTATCCAATCCGCAGCTTCCTAGGTCATCATTTATCCAATCCGCAGCTTCCTAGGTCATCATTTATCCAATCCGCAGCTTCCTAGGTCATCATTTATCCAATCCGCAGCTTCCTAGGTCATCATTTATCCAATCCGCAGCTTCCTAGGTCATCATTTATCCAATCCGCAGCTTCCTAGGTCATCATTTATCCAATCCGCAGCTTCCTAGGTCATCATTTATCCAATCCGCAGCTTCCTAGGTCATCATTTATCCAATCCGCAGCTTCCTAGGTCATCATTTATCCAATCCGCAGCTTCCTAGGTCATNAAATTACAAAATTTAGTATTTACCAATAGCTACTCCGGCCTGCTTTCGACAGAAGATGAGATCTGGATGATGTTTCGCCATTTTTTACAAGAAAACTGAAATACAATAGGTTCCTTACATTGAAATATAATATTCAATATTTAATGGTATTTAATAAAATTATGAGTCCACAATTTTCACTAGAATATGATTAATAATCAATATATGACAGCGGAGGCCGTAGAAATTTTATCAAAAACAAATAAAGCTCCGCATCAAAATCATCTTGTGATTTTTTCCGATTGTTACAAAACGATTTCAAGCGAATCAACAAATTAAAAATGCCGCAACATTTATTCATATAGATCCTTATTCTAAACCGGTTTGTCCTGATCCTTCAACCAATCAGAAGACATGAGAATATGTTTCAACCAATAGTAAACCAGAAAACGCCCAGCATTCTATTCCTCTATACAAATTCTCTATCAATTGCAAAAATGGCAGCAGAAAACGAAGAACCTATTTCTGAGCAAGAAAAGGTATATAAAATGTTTTGGGGAGTTTTGTAATCATTGAATTGGATAGAAAAAAGTATTTTGTCAATAAATATAAAATATTCATTTTAAGTATTGACAAATATCTAAATTTCATGTTTTTAAGGTCCAAATCGCCGCCGATTTTATCCTTCACTCGCCGCCTGGAGAATTTAATGAAGTTTTCAATGGTAAGTAAAATTTGTTACATCTCACTTGTTCAATCTAGGTGTTTTCTCCTTGGGTATGTGACCGAAAGATATATCATACAGAACTACTTTTCTACGGACGACTAGAAGAGTTCAAATCATCATATTATTTTAGATTTTTTCAAACGTTTTGCGTGCTCTGGCTTAACAATAACTTAACTAACTATTGCTCTAACCTTTACAAATATTCTCTGAAGTGTTACAGTTACAAAATGAGAATGAAAAGTACTTAATTAAGGATTATGGCTAAAGTCTTCTCAATCCTATAAAGTTATTTTTTTTAAAGTGACATGTCCGATTCACAACGGTTCCCTAATACGCCTTTTCAAGGTTTAAGAATGACACATTTAGAGCTCGGAAAACGCATATATCTTCCACATTATTAATCAAATAAGGTTTAAACATGCATAATCTTCTCAAAAGAAGTGTCAGTAGAAATTACACGGACAGTCTCAACTATATTTAATTGGGTAATGGGATATAAGTCTCCACTCTCTACTCTCTACGTGAATAAGTTCCCCCTGTATTCTAGATGTCCGAGTACTGCTGAACAATGATCCCCTGCTACGCGAGGGAGCTAGCGGCGCCTTTTCCCAGTACAACAAGGACCAGCTCACGCCCGTCAAGATCGAGGGGTCGGAACTTTTCTGCCTCATCACAGAGCATAATGATCTGGGCGGAGGACGGTTCGGAGACCCGCGCTCCAAACAATCCTTTAAATATGATCATCTTAGGAAGGAAGCCTCTGATTATAAGGTTAGGAATGGAATAACTTCAATTTTGTAGTTTTATTTCTAATTGTAATTTGTAAACTCTTTTAGTTCTTGCAACATTTTGGAGATTATTAAAATAAAAATTTTGCTGTGTGTCAATTTCTTGTGTATACAAGATTAAAACTAAAGAATTTCCCCCTAAAATCATCAAAATCAACAAAAACCGGAGAGCTACTTCTTAATAAAATGATTTGATTAACGAAGGGGAAGGGGAATTATTTTTCTGGAAAAAAAAATATCGCTCACTAGTATTTGTTCAGCCCTGGAGCTCCCATGGTGAGCTGGAGGAGTTGAGGTCTGCTGTAGAGGCCGAGGTTACCAACTACACCTTAAACCATTACAAGCACGGAGTACCAGCAGTCTTCGTCAAGGTAAACGTTTAGTAAATCTTTATTTTTTATCACAATTTTTTTGTTCCTGAACTAATTTCTAAATTGCAGTGTTATTTGTATTCAAATAGATGAACCAACAGGGGCTGACGGGCGTGATGTCTAACTTTATTCGTGGGGTTAGGGTTGCCATAAAAATATATGGTTAAAATAGGTGAAGCAAAAAGGGTTAGAGCCTAAGATTTTGGAGAGGGAAAATCAACAGGACGATACAAAGTGTCAATTTCAGAAAATGGAATTTGTTCATTCGAATTTTAAATTCCTAATTTCCTTAGAGATTTAGTCGTTATCACTATTTTTTCTAAAAGTATTAAAAATGTCGATCAATCATATTAAGTTTGATGGTTTACCACAACGGGATTGATTTTGAATAAATATATAGCATCGATATGTAAAATAAAATTTAATATAAAAACCACAGTGATGAATCTATGCTGCAGGATACAGAGGAGGGTAAAATGTTGATTGCTTGTATTGAAGATCATCAGTTCCAACCCAAGAATTATTGGTAAATTTTAAAATGTTACAACGCTGATAATTTACCCTTCTAACTTTTTCACTCAACATTTGGACAAACATAGAATAGAAATAAATATGTGAAGTGAAAAAGTAGAAAAAAATTGAAAGAAGAGAGGGAAGAGAAACAAAAAAAGAAAATTCAATTAAAAACAATTTAATTCCTAAAAATCATAATAAGGTAGAATTAAGCTTAAATTTGTTTAGATGCAATCTTCATTATAAATAATGGAAGTTAGGTTGTAAATATCTATTATCTAGGAATGGAAGATGGAGATCAGAATGGAGTTTAATTATATCTGGAGACCAAGCTGAGGTTACAGGAACTCTTAAGGTGAATGTCATAAGTTTACTTTGTTTTTTCAAGAAATGAAAACAAAAATGTTAAAATTTGTTATGAGAACATTATTCACCTCGGGTAAATTAGCGTAAAATGTATCTTGTTTTTGTAAATTTTCTCTTCAGAGAAATTATTTGAATGGTATTAATTTAGCCGTTAATTTACCTATATTCACAATTTATTTTTACATGATCAGCTTTAGCTTAATTTGAACAAGTAAATGAAGTAGCCCTTAATTTTATTGCAAGACATAAATTCTGCTATATCTCAATCTATCTGCTGCACAATTCCGCAAGTTATGCTTTAATAATGTCACAAATATATGATAATTAATTTAAATAAGAAGTATCGTTTATTTAATAAACTAAGATTAAAGAGTACTGCTGGAAATCAAGCAATTAACGCTTTTAACGCAGAGTCACTGAAATTACATGAACAGTCCGTTTAATCCGTATATCTAGGTGCAGGTTCACTACTATGAAGAGGGGAATGTCCAGCTGGTTTCCTCCAAGGAGGTCAAGGACTCCATTACTATATCGGTAAATATATGATAAACATATTCTTGATGAGAGGGGGGGGGGCAATGCTCAGATTTGATTAATAATGAAGTAAATTCGTCTGGTTAAAAACTCATTCATGAAAATTTAGACTGCAGTTTACAATTGACATGGTTAGAAACACATTAATAAACTCTATAAGAATTACTATACTATGTATTGAAGTATGCCGAGTATAGTGTAGTGTGTACTGAACAGTGAACAGTGTAGTGAAGTGTAGTATGTACTTATACAGTGTATTGAAGTGTAGTATGCACTGTACACTGTACAGTGAAGTGAAGTATAGTGTAGTCAACGATGTACTGTACACTTTACAGTGTAGTAAAATGTAGTATGTACTTGTACAGTGTATTGAAGTGTAGTATGTACTGTGCAGTGTGCACTGTTCAGTGTAGTGAAGTTTAGTATGTACTGTACACTGTACAATGTAGTGAAGTGTAGTATGTACTTTAACTGTACGGTGTATTATGTACTATACACTGTACAGTGTAGCGAATTGTGTTATGTACTTTGTGAAGTACATACATGCACCATACAGTGAAGTTCAGTGTATTATGTATTGTACAGTGAACCATGTACTGTACAGTAACGTGTACTATGTACTGTCCAGGACGCTGGTGAGGCTGGTAAGATGCTGGTACAGCTGATGGAGGATAGTGAGTCTGAATATCAGACTGCTATCAGTGAAAACTATCAGACTATGTCTGAAACTACATTCAAGGCTTTACGTAGACAACTTCCCGTCACTAGGTTAGTCACCACCTTATATTTTATAAATGGGGGCTAAATAAGATAAAGGCCTCACTTTATGTAATATATTATTTCCTCTTTTTGATAACTTTCTTCCATGAAAATTCATTAATATATCCTACTAAAAAAGGGGGGGGGGTGAGCATGATATAAAGGATGTAATTCTTATTTTAGTAAACTGAGGTATTTAAATTTTAATGAAAAGGTTAAAAAAGAAACTCTAAAACTCTGCCACAGAAGAACTATCATTTTCGCTAAATTATTGAACTATCTTACTACATCACTTAGGTTTAGAAATAAATGTTCTCACAAAAAATGTAAAACTCGAGATTCCGATTTCATTTAGAATTTTTTCAGTCTAAACATAATCAGTTTTTAATAATACAATATTTTCCAGGACAAAGATTGACTGGAACAAGATTGTCTCTTACTCCATTGGAAAAGAATTAAGAAGCCAGTGAAGATCCGTAATTGATCATTAAGTACACAAATGATTTATGCTTGAACAGTAAGGATCTATAATTGATCATTGACTATATTAGTGATGTATTATTGATCATTTATTACATAATTGATAATATTTTTGAGCATTGAGTACAGTATTGATCTATAATTGATTATTGAGTAGCGTATTGATTTATTATTGATCATTTATTACAGTATTGATCTTTGATTGATCATTAAGTAAAGCAGTGATCCATAAAGGATTATTGACTACAATATTGATCTTTGATAGATCATCGAGTACAGGAGTGATCTTTGATAGATGATCGAGTACAGCAGTGATCCATAATTGATCATTTTCTACATCATTGCTCCATGACGGATCATTGAATAGCCCGCCTACAATCTTTAATATGTCAATGTTAAAAAACCAACTTGCTCCCAATATTTTACATTATACTACAAAGATAATTTTTATAAGCCCAGTAACCCCCTCCTGTACTAGTGTTTTAAGTCCCCCCTTTATAGGAACTCCCGGTGCCATATTTCCTTATGTACCACCCCCTTCCTAAAATTTTCTGAAGGCCAAAAGTTTCAATGATTAATAAATTGTGATTTTTGTGTGATTAGCTTAGACTTGTTTGTGCAATTGACACTTTTTTCCATCAAACCATTCAATTTTTCACTGAAAGACACTTTCGTATATTTTGTACAATTACTTTTTTGGAACCCAGCAACAATCCATTTAATGAATTTTCTAATATTTATATATTGTGCGTCCGAAATATATTTAATAAATTGAATAAAGTTAAACTATTTTAAAATAAAGGCTTCTTTTTGTGGAAGATGTATGAACAAAGATTTAGTTTTTGGTAAATTTCAAGGATTTAGTGGCATATTTATGTGTCCACTCCCTACTGTGTCCCTCAAATTCTGCTGGAATTAATACGATATATTTGGTTTGGACATTTAAGATTGAATGTAATGATTATAATGTAGTGTCTTACGAAACATGACTGTAGCAATACGACTTGAAAGTATCCTTGTTCTTAGAATTTATTTATTATTTATCAACCTACTTTAACATGCATGTTTCTTGAAAGTAACCTCGAAATACTAAAACAAAAATTTAAATTTTTTCTGGCGTTTTTTACGCTTCTCACAATGGAAACTGGATTACTCATGGCATACCTCTGACAATGAAAGGCGAAAGACACACTCCTCGTGTTTTAAAGCGATGGGACAACATTCTGAGCGGGTTATTTTTCTTTAAAAAATCTGTCCACGTGGGAATACACGTTAACAGTGACTGCTTTACTGTGGAATCAGCAAATATTTCTGAGAGAGATTATAATTGGTATCATGGGTGTTTCTAATCTAGGGGGTACACCTAAATCACCTTGAACCTACCTGAATACAGTTAAGGCTATAGGAAGTCTTCTAATTTCTTTCTAAATTACTACAAGACACTGATACAAGTAATGCAGCTGACAAAGAGTAACTCTCATTACAACAATGTAAGCAATAACTTGCATTGATGGCCAATATCAAACACAACTGGAATAAATACAGAAACTCGAGAGCTGATATTGAAATACTATAAATTGCCTGGTCAGCTATTGAAACTGCATATTAACCATCCTGGTGGGGGGGGGTATACAGCTAATTGAATGAGCAAAACAGGACAGCCAGGAAACAAGAAGTTTGGAAAAATAATTATCTGCATTCTGCATTAAAAACATGTAACAATAAAAATCTGATAAAAATGGAACCAAGAGTGTAGAGAAGAATAGTGCTACTGGTGGTGCAACAGCAGTACAATGATGGATACAGCTATTACTTTGTGCTTAACTAGCTATAATAGTGGGGGTATGGGAATTGATAAACAGAACTTTATAAGTTTGCTATCTTGGTTCTTAGACATTTTATGCATTCATGATAAATATGTTTTGTAGTGATTAAAAATCAATGTTTTCTATTTGTGCATAATTTTGCATATTTTTTCTCTTTTCTTTTGGAAACCTGTATTTTCAAAAAAAGAATTATTTAAACTTTAAACTACACCATTTATATATGTATTTATATCTTTGTGTGTGAATAAATCTTTACAATAATAAATTTCCTTTATAAAAAATGAAAAATAAATAAATTGTTAGTTAGCAAAATTGGCGGAATTACAGTTTTTTTCGTGAATTTCTTAAAATTTTACAAAAAAAATAATTTGTTGTTATTCTGAACATTCATAAACCGTCTCTAGGGTCACGTGAGGTCTGGCACAAAATTTCGGCCTAATCGGTTCAGCCGTTTTGAAGTTAATTGGATACAAACAGACAGACATATTAGGAAAGTATATACAGAGCGTCCCATATCATATTAAATTATCAACAATCTTTAACGCCAAAATACGCACATAATACGCGAAAAATCTAGCATTTTCTGCCAACAAAATTTTCTATTAGCCTTATTAAAAATTTTAAAATGATTCATTCTTCTTAAATTTTCTGATTTGTCCCCCAAATCGTAATTTAGACCCATTGACGCGGTCTAATTTGATGAGGGACACCCTGTATATATAGAAGAATTCGGGGGCGAACGTTTGTACATGAGCTTTCTTTTATAGTGGTGCAAGTTTTTACAGAAGGTTGCAATTAATAAAATATTTTATTGTGATAGAAAATACAATTTTTTTCAGATTTTCTCGCGGTCCTCGAGATGGTTTGAAATATTTTATTTCTTATCGTCTTGTTCTTAGCTTTGAGCTCTTAGGTCTGAAATGGAAAGTTGATTAAAACATTTCGAGTTAACGAACCCCTTGGCCTTTTGTCTGCGATTTTCAAGATTTCATGCGCTCAGCCAACTAAATCGGAATGCTTTGACAGGATGTAATATTTATTTTTAAAAGTTTCTCCTAAATATGTAACCTAGAAAGGTGGCGTTTTCTAAGAGAAATCGTTTCAAACTGTACTATAGGTCGCACAAATTAAAACATGATTGGAAAGGCATCGGAGTCTTCTTAGAACGTGATTTCTTGTAGATCTTTCTCTTTTATTAAAACATCCTTTACCTGGCAGATTTAACCCTCTCCCTGTTCTGCTCTGGATCTGTATATTGTAAATACAACCCGGAGAGATCCAGATCCATTCCGTCCTTTTCTCTGGAATATTTGGGTGTTAGTTGCTGCAAACTTTATTTTTGAAAATTGTGAATTTTGTCTTCCCACAATTTGGAAATCACAGGTTCATATTATTTTGTTAAAGGGATTGTAAGCGTAACTGCTTGATTCACTACGGTACCCTTGCAACCTTCATATGATCATTAATGTGGAAGATATTGTTGTTTTCCTAGGTTTTCAGGTGTTTAATTTTGATAATTTATGTTTTTTTCTGCAGTTGAAAACTTGAAATGCGCGAGTCGGATATTGAGAATCCACAATTGAAAGTTCTCGATTCTTAAAATATAAACATCAATATCTGATTCCTACTTAAGATTAAGCTTACATCGGGCATTCTAATCTTAGCATGTAGGTTTATTTAAAATCACGCTTACCGCCTTAAACAAAAACCTGAATGTAGTGGGGGTCAATGACGACATTAAAGAAGCTATTTTTAATTAGACCTACCTTTCGTGGATTGATTCACTTGATTTTCTCATATTATTCCCCGTGTAGGCAACACATCTGAAGGTTATAATTAGTGTTTTTTACATTTTTAAAAGCAACAACTTTTTTTAAATATTCTATTCTATATTTTCTATCCTGGGCTGCATAGGCTTATTTTGTCGCTTAGATTTTTTAAGTAACTTCTTTTGTATACGGTCGCGGTATAGTTTATAAAATTCTCTTTTCTTACACTTTTTAAAAAATAATTGTTAAAATATTAAAAAATTCTCTTAATTAAAGTTTTGAAAAATCGAAACCATTTTTATACAGTTTAACCCAGAACTTATAAAATGTCATTTTCTTAAAATTAAAAATATATTGCGTACCTAAGCTGCCATTCTCCAATTTCTAAACACTATCAAGCAATCCTTCCATCTCTCTCTGCTGCTCTTGCTAGAAAATTTAATTTCTTTTTTTTTAATATTTTTATTTCAGTTCTTTATTAAACCTTTAACCTCTGATACTGTACAGTGGATTTTATTATACAAACTTACATCACTAAAAATTGTTTAGTTATCCCAAATGTTTTATAAGGTCTTTATTCACAGAATTTTATCTTTTCAGGGGAAATAAAATCATGATTTGGGAAATATGAAAAGAAATAAAAAGCTTGGATGTTGGTTTCCCAAAGTCCTTTTTTCAGAAAAAAAGTTAACACCGCGTTTTCACCCATTTTTCCCACTTTTTATTTTACTAATCTAGAATTAAAGCTAAGAAAAATTTAAAAAAAGATTCATAATAAAATGGGGAATAAAAATATTTTATGAAAGGTAAATTATCGTTAAAGAAATATATACCCCTGAAATCTGTTTAATATAATATTTAACAGGTGCACCCTGCCAACTATTTTCTACCTGAAGGTCGGATAGTTCTGATTTGGCTGTTTGCAACATACCCCACACCTTCTTCAGCTTTCGGGTCTTTCCATTAGCTTCCTCCTGTACAGTGTACAGTGTACAGTGTACATAACAAGTATAATTGATTTATTGATCGCTAATGTTAGAAATAAATTCGATTTCTTGATTGATCTTTAATTTCTGGCATCGTGCCATATACTGATAATGTATTTATTTAACCTATTAATAGATTGAATTAATGATTAATTAATTGATTGACTGAATACCTGAAGGGATGAGTATTTCTCCTCTATATCAACCCTCTCAGCTTCAACAGCTTTTAATTGATCCCTGAATATTTTAACCATTATTTTCTGTTTTAAGCATTTAGTCCTATAAGTTTGTACGTAAATAGCAACTTTCAACTAGGAGAAGGTTTTAGAAGTTCTTTATGTATTTTTAAAAATGCTACCTTTAGGAATTTTCTTTGTCTGTATTTTATGATCCAGCTACCTACTTAAGAGTTTGCTCCGCATTGTATGCTCAAGCTACCTACCTAAGAGTTTGCTCTGTATTGTATGCTCAAGCTACCTACTTAAGAGTTTGCTTTGTATTTTATGCTCAAGCTACCTACCTATGAGTTTGCTCTGCATTGTATGCTCAAGCTACCTGCCTAAGAGTTTGCTCTGTATTGTAAGCTCAAGCTAGATACCTAAAAGTTTGCTCTGCATTGTATGCTCAAGCTACCTACTTAAGAGTTTGCTCTGTATTGTATGCTCCAGCTACCTACCTAAGAGTTTGCTCTGTTTGTATTGTATACTCTAGCTCCCTACCTAAAAGTTTACTCTGTCTTGTATGCTCAAGCTACCTACCTAAGAGGTTGCTCTGTTTGTATTGTATACTCTAGTTCCCTAACTAAGAGTTTGCTCTGTTTGTATTGTATACTCTAGCTACCTACCTAAGAGTTTGCTCTGTTTGTATTGTATACTCTACCTCCCTACCTAAGAGTTTGCTCTGTTTGTATTGTATGCTCAAGCTACCTACCTAGAAGTTTGCTCTGTATTGTATGCTCAAGCTACCTACCTGAGAGGTTGCTCTGTTTGTTTTGTATACTCTAGCTCCCTACCTAAGAGTTTGCTCTGTTTGTATTGTATGCTCCAGCTCTTGAGCACTCTCTTCTAATAACCTTTCCTGTTCTTCAGCCTAAAAAAAATATCTTTAAATTATTTTAGAAGTAAATATTTAAACAAAGTTCAAGTGTACCTCTCATCCCTGTCATGTGTGTAACATTATCATAAAGTCGTCTTTCTATTTAAGAGAATTCTGGCTATCACTGTATAATAAGTTAGCACTAAAACTATTTGCTTTGTTTAGAAACAACATTAAATACACTTAATTATTACTAAAATCATATTAACAGTTTCTGGTTCTGGCTGTATACCTTATCTAGTAAATTCTCCCCTCCAACAATTATTTTCTTCTCAAGTGCTGCCAGTTTCTGCTTTATAGCCTCCTGGTCAGCTTGGGCCTTCTCCAACTCCTAGATTTATTCATTTATTCATCCTTTTATTCATACATCTATTTATTCATTTATTCACCTTATCATTTATTCATTTATTCATTTATTTATTTATTCATTTATTCATTTATTCATTTATTCATTTATTCATTTATTC